CTTGGGCATGGAGGATTTTGGTTTCCCTGAGGGCTCCCAGAACCAATTTCTCACGGATACAAAGGGACGACTGTACTCGTTGTCGCTAGCCAATATTATGTTCTTAAAGAAAAACAGGTGAAAGGAAACACAAGTCTAACTTTTACTGAGAGAAAATAACAGAAAAGGACCATATACTGTTCACTTGGAAGTCCTTCCCCACCTCCCTAAGCACTGATGTCCATACATATTTGTTGAATTGAATGAAAAGAAAATAATGACACTACTGATAAATTCAGAAGCAAGAGTTGAAGAGTTACGACCACAGAAGAATTAATGTACTTTTGTAGCAGAACAGTGAGAACCAAGCAATACATTAGATTGGTTCTTGAATTTTCAGTTCAATTTTCAGAGAAGGAAAGTTAAAATATACTCTGCAGAATTATGGGAAACATTGAAGTATCTTGTGTCATAGATTTACATTTTTCTTTCTAAAAAGAAAGGCAGAAAGATGAGGTAGAAATTCTCATTTCACAGAGGTGATAATCAATTCCTCACAGTATTGAAGAATATATGTATTTTTCTATAATGTATTATAATTAAAGTAAATAAAAACATTATTCCAAAATATCATGCCCACTAGTTTGAACCTTGTGGCAGAGACTGCTAAGCATTCTTCAATATGCATTTCCCTTTCTTACTAAGAAATGAAGCCCCTAAATTTTAGATGGGTACAAGGCCACCATGAATAAGGACTACAATTTCCAGCTTTCCTTGCAACTAAATTGGGGGTGAACCAAGTAGTGTGTGCAACTTGTGAGACACATCCTTAAATGGAAGAAGCACCCTCCTCTGTCCCTTTTTCCTCCTTTTTAGCTGGAATACAAAAGCAATGGCTGGAACTTTGGCAGCCATCTTGAATCATGATCTTGAGAATGGCAGGACACATAGTGGAGCAAGACAGAAGGAGCCTGGGTCCCTGTCTCTAGGGAACCCAAATCCACCTCTTTGCTATCTCCAGAATTTTGAAATATGAAGAGACATAGACCTGTATCTTATTTAAGCCACTGTCATTTTTCTGTTCTGTCACTTGTAGGTAACTCTAATCCTAACGAATGTAGACTGACAACGTTGTCTGCCAAAGCAATTCTATGAGGATAACTAGATAGATTATTGGTTTCTTCAAACTGTTTTTAAAAACTTAACTCTGGAGAGCAAAGGCAAAGCATGCCCTAAATGGAAAATGGTCCAATGTTTTCAGTTACTCAAAGAAACAAGAACAATAACACCAAGTTAAGGATTGATATGTCCAAATCCAAATTGGGTAGAATTTCAAATTTGAATTCTTCCCTCCTTCCTCCCTCCCTCCTCTTCTTTCTCTTTCTTTTCTCCTTTCCTCCCTCCTTTCTTTCCTTCCTCTCTTATTTCTCCTTCTTCTTTTTCCTTAATTTAGTTCTCAGGTTCAAGCCAAGGTATCTTCTGGATTCTTCAGATATTTCATTAAAAATGTTTAGTATTTCATGTGCTACTTGCTCTTCATATGCTTGCAAGTCTAAGGAAGATGATTCATTTATCACCTGACACCAAACTTTTCTACAAATATCAATATTTAAGAAGCTTTTCCTACCTTCTAGAAATGGCATTTTTTCCTTAGCTCTCAATAAAGAAATTAAGCTTTTTCAGGATGAAAAGGGAAATGCTGCCCACAAATTGTGAATTTTTGGGGAATTCTGTTTTTGGAAGAATTCTTTATTAATAAATACATTCTTCTAATATTTAAGATATATCTGCTCCCTTTCTGCGCTGCACACTATGTAGTTACGTGAGTAGTGATTCCCTGTATTAGCTTAACTTTGGGGCATAATATCCTTGAGTTATGGCCTATTTATCACGAATATTTGAGCAGCGTTCATAGATAGACTATCTGTCAATCAGAGATTACCGATGACTCTTAAATGGGAGGAAACAAGAAAAACAGACATTCAAGGTTTCGAAGTTTGAAAAGATCAATTATTGGTATTGTTTCCTACTTAATTCAGTTATCCATTTAAAGCAACTACTACCTTGGGCTAAAAGGTCAAGTCAGAACCTTTGAATTCTAATCAACTGTAAACGTTCTCCTAGTTACCTACTACAGCAACTCAGAAATGATAAGCAAGTATTTCCTTCAAGAAATAATTAGCCAGAATGTTTACACCATAGTAGTGAATCCACATTTTGGGACACTATACATTTTAAAATTAGGTATGAAATGAAGATCTGTTTATTCTTGGCAAGATTCCTTTCTAATTTGCAAAGATTGAAAAGAGCAATTTTGGTTTTCACTTGCTTCTCAGTTTAGCAGTCACGATGGTCCTCTCCAGATTTGCATCGTAAGTTTCAGCTGATGTTGATGAAGACGAATTCCTCTCAATCACGAGCGAGCGTACCATCCATTAAGTGAGACAGATGGCAGCCCTGCCCTATTTTGTTAGATCAGCCTCTTGAAGCCGGCTGCTCCCCTTATTTAGGTCTATAGGAAATAGCAAGGCTTATTTTTTCTGGAGGAAAAAAGAAAGAAGGATGCTAGGCAGGATGCTAGGCAGAATGTCAAGTTATCTTCAAAACAAGTGAGGCGATAGCCCTTCAGGTCGGAGTGATATGGACATAAGTTTTTGTTTCAGGGACACATACCCTCACACTCTATGGCGGGTGGAAGGCTAAGGTACTTGTGGATGTACTAGCTTAGAGCTTTTCCTAAGAGACGTTCTGGATTTCTCTGATCTAGGCAGTTCCACACCCCAGTGTGTCTTCTGTCCCTTGGGAATTCTCTAACAAACCCTCTGAACCACTGTCATTCCATCGATTAACCTGTGCTGCTTTGAAGGTAAATCCCATCTGCCTGTGACTTCACACACTTCTCTTATCTTTAAGAAAAGTCATTGACCAAGATAGAAGACACGGCCTGGGGCAGGGTTGGGCAGGGTTCACGAGGCAGGATGCCAGGATGGTTCAAAGAGGAAAAAACCTGTGGTTTTAACGTTCGCGTCTCCATTCCAGTCAGCACTAGGGGCTCATGGGCACTGGGGGACGCATCTCCAGGTAAATCGAGACAACTTCTGAGGAGAGCGCTGGAACCTGGAGTTGGACCATCTTTTAGGATGAGGAGATGGTAGCACATGAATACAGGCTAAATATACGCGTCGCTCTGACCAGACACACACTTTGCATACAGGGAAGCCAAGATTCAGCAAGAGTGTAGATAGAGTGAACACGTTTTTGTCGAAAACCCTGCTGCGTGATGCACGGTGCAGCGTACATTCCCTAAAACAGGAGGCAAAAGCTGCAAAACCTGGAAACGCTCACTGCTAAGAGGCAGCAAGCTGGACGGTGCTGTGGTGGAATTACCCGGATCAAGGGGTGGCTGCTGAGTGTTACCGCACAAGCCTGTGCTGCTTTTCATCCCTTGGTCTTAAGTAAGCAGAACCTCTAAAGACTGGCCGGGAAGAGGAGAGGCAAGGAGGGGCCCAGTGGGAGGGAGGGGAGATGGGAGATCTATCTGACTTGTTTCTGATGAGTGGCAAATTTTCTGGAACTTTAGAATTACCATTATGGATTGCTGGGATTGGGGATTGAAACAGTTATAACTTAAATGAAGAAAGATTAAAAACTAAAAACACACGTACCATATTAAGTAGTTGCCTATATTGAATATCCATAGAAAGATCACTGATGTGAGGATTTCCTCCTCAAATCTGCAGCTAGACAAGATCTAGGACTCTGCAGTGCATTGTAGAAGTATGTTCAGATTTATACGAAGGTGAAACAGCAACACTAGTGAGTATGGTACTGTTTTGTGAAGTTTACTGTGTTTTGTTTGTGCGTGTGTGTGTGTGTGTGTGTGATGAAATGACAGTTTAAAATATTTAAATGTTATTTTTACTCTTCCGTCTTACTCATTTTCTACATTTTTTATATGCTATTAGTTTTCTCCATAATAATATGTATTCGTCTTGGAATTTGAATGTAAAAGTTATTTTAAAATTAAGAAATGCAGTGTTTAGTGTATACTATTTCTCATCTCTTAAATATGGGCAAGTTTTTCAAGCTACTTTTTAGAAAACTTGGAAGAGTTTGGGGTTTGCATGGGCTTTGCACAGCACTTGAATGGGTAACAAGAGCTCCGGACAGGATCCAACTTCTTGTTCTGACATGACAGTGGTAACTGCCTCTTTCAATTGTGGCATGCTTCACAGTTTACACAGTAGTTTTTATATTTTCAGCTAATCCTCACCTTACCCTTGGGAGGTAGGGATTGTTGTTCTACTTTACAGATGAGGAAGTCTCCAGGACCGAGATGTCTAACACTGCCCAAGACCACAGTGGTGGGCTGGGGACCCAACCTTCCCCCCCTTTTGCCCTCCGGCTTCTCCTTCCTCCGGTCATAGCCTGTGCCCTCTGTATACAGCAGGGCTTCGGAGAAATCACCAAACCCCCTAGGCTCCAGCCCCCAACTGTACAAGTCGGCTTGGACTGGCCCTTCTCCCCAGTCCCTGCTATCTCCTCTTCATTTTGAATTTGGGTTTATTCAGTGGAATGAAAAGTGATGGGATTCAGTGAGTGTCAGCTGACTGACAGGGCACAGCCCAGAGGCTGTGAGTACAACAGACCTCCGGAAAGCCCATGGTGTCTGTCATGAACTGGAAGGAACCAGGGCCAACTTTATTGCATAAATTCTGATTCTTAACAGAATCTTATAAAATATATGGGCTTCAAAGGAGAAGAAGGAAAATAAAAACCTCTACACACATACAAAAAATTGGACACAATTTAAGATGGTTTGTAGACCGACTTAGAGATGTACGGGCCAAGTTAACTTCTGGATTAAATACTGCACGTAGACACAATTTTGGGCCCTATAGGAGGCCTCATCTTAGTTGTTACACAAAGTGAGCAAAGCTTATTTTGATATGGGAAATAATAATTGAAAGATATGAAGGAAAAAACTGTGATATGTTTTCAACAGTCCTTTTCCCGTGGAATATTGTTTCCCATATTACTTTCTTGGTTCTTGGGATGGGGTAGGAGAAAGAAAAGTTGATTCAGAACAAATATAAACATCTTCTTTAGAAGTATTATAGAGAATTCCACACTATTTTAATACTTTTTGGAATATCTTAAGAGCAACATTCCTGATCACAGATTTATGGTTGTGATTTCTGTCCCATAAACCTATAAGCTGTATATTGAGGTCTGATGCCAGTGTCAGAACTGGGAGAAAGGGTAGAAAATCTGAACCTCAGAGATACCCTCCAAATGGGAAAGGTGTTCTACTGGTCATTTCACTCTTTCATACGCCCGTGATATATATTTTTTCAGAACATAGGAAGAACGAGATATCATGCAAGCATCTGAACATTTAGATTGCCATAATATGATTCTGGGTTTTCGAAAGTCGAGAACAAAGGAGGACTCTCTATTTTGTCTGTGGTGTTGAAAAAATGATCTGTACTCAGTCTGAAAGCCCCATCCACTATCTGTACCCATTTATCATCTGTCACCGCATCTAACTTCCTGCCGAGGAACCCCAGGTAACATCCTCTATGAGAACTCCCGTCAGGCCCGAGATCACCGCAGTCAGCAATGGGGACTTGACACCTCAACTACACAAAGCCACATTTCTCTTAGAATTGACTGTGGAAAGCTTTCACAGAATGTTTTTCATTTTGCATGCCTCACATTAAATATTGTTAAAAGATTAAAAACCAGTTTTGGGGTACAATTTACAAGTATTCATGTAAGAAGGAAATGACTAAAAAACACCCACCCAAGCACCTACAACTCATCTAGCGAACAATGCTAATAACACTTAGGCCGTGCCTGGAGAACTCTGTGATTCGTGGGAAAGTGGGGAGGTGCAGTCCATCCTCTGGAAGAAAGTGAGACGTGTCAATGCAGAGAGGTGCTGTCATTGGTGCTTTGCTTCCTAAGTCAAGTTCAGCAGCCGCATTTTCAGAGTCAGCGTCATTACTTATTTCGACCTGAAACAGAAAGGATGAAGTGCTTTAAAAGACTTCAAAATTGAAAACTAAATTTCCTTTTTATTCATCCAGGCTTTTCAAAAGGCAAAATGTGCCTTCTGCTGTCTGTGCCTGTGGCTGTAGCAATAAGCAAGCAAAACACCTGGGCTCCCTGCTTTTCGGATCAGGGCGGGGCAAGCAGGTGTAAATGTCAGAGGGGAGGACTTGCGGTTTCCTGGGAAAGACGTGTCAGCCACATAGCAAATGGGGAGTGATGTAAAGGTATTGCCTTTGGTGGCCCTGGGGTAAAGCTGACAGGGTAGTATTATGTCTGTGAACTGCTAGCTACAGCCCTAGCCTAACCTTCCTAGAGCCTTCCATTGGCTGACTGCTGAAGAACCATCCAGGTCTGGCTTTCATAC